AAATTTCATACTATGTGCTATTCTCGTTGAGCTCTACAAAATAGCATAGTTCTGTACGCAAACGCCGCGTGGCACCTGGGAACGTTCCCTCGTCAGATATTTGTTTTAATCATCTTATATTTTGTTTCCAAAGTTGACACATTTTTCAAAAACTTCGTATAAAGATAATTAATTATTGTGTGATGCTGAGAAATACTATAAGTAATTGAGTCCTATACAGAAAAATATACTACTTCCACTACAACCAAATCTGTACGGTTCTTGTTGATAGTCGTTCCAATTGAAATTCTCTGCCATTTCTAACATTCTTCTTCAATCGTTTATAAACGTCCTGTTGTTCACGTCCAAAATCATCATGGTATATTTCCACGTAGAGATAGTAGAGTTTTTTCAATATTCGTAAGACGTACGGTACGATCAGATAAAAATCTTCCGATGAATCAACACAAAAGTAAAACTTTTTCAAGTTTGAGAATGTTCCAATAATACCTTCAGTTGTTAAATCAATGAGACTGTTATCGTACAACAAATTCAGTGTGGAAATCTGATTTTGGAAGAATGTTCGTAAAGTCGAATTTTCGACGATTTTCGACATTAGTTGCCCGTTGCCTTCGAATTTTAATGAACACAGTCTTGGTGCTTGTTCAACAATGGCTGTGAGAAGTTCATTAGCACTGATAGAATTGTTCGTAATTGTTAAATATTTCAAATTCCACAAATTAAATAAACGAGAAAAGTCTGCTGCTGTTGCTTCCGATGTTCGCTGATCGTAACACAGTGTAACACTGTCAACATGTGGATAGAAAGGAGGATGATTAGGCGGCTGATCTCGATCTAAACTTGCCATTGACAGAGTATCAATGATCAATTTTTGAACTTTATGATATCCACCGCCATTTGTATTCACCAATGTACCTTAAACAGACAGAGCAAACTGTGACAATAGAGAATGATGTTTTTTTATCAGAATTAAGATTTCAGCTTTCCTTAGACGACATTCTACTGTGAGAGAAAGATGTCGTTTATCGAATGTTTGCTCTTTAATAGGCGAGGTTTCTCCCCGTCTTTTCGATAATAACGAGCGTCGAACACAAAAGTTTCGCATATTCGGAATCAGCGACGAATTTGATGAAGACTGAAGAAAAAACTTGATATTGGCGCCACAAATGTAATGATATAAAAAATCAAAATTTTGTTTTTGTCTTGCTTCGTTTGCCTTGTTTTGTCTTGCAAATTTTGTGTTCGAAGCTTGTTATTGTCGAAAAATGTGAAAAAACGTCGCCGACTAGGACTGCAAACTTATACTATCGCCGAAATTTACTTTGAACTCAGTGTCAGATTCAATACATACGCTTCTCAGCTGACTCGCTGGTTAGGCTGATTCTGTCTCTCCAACAAGAAAACCAAACAAATAACCTGCTGTAGCTGTTAAATATAATTCTGATTTTGGATACGGTAGTGTATAGATTGATAGAATTTGTTCGTTCTTCTTTTGGTACAGTCGTGTTTTATATGAAGGACTAGGTGTAGTGACAACAACATTGAATTTCTTCCAAGAATTTGCTGGAAATTGTGTTTCTACTGCAGTCAAATCGATTTCATCATTTCTATAAAGAATATTGAGGAAAAGATCAAAATGTGATAGATTTGGTATTGACATTAACAATTGTTCCCACTGACGTACATTCACATAAGCTGTGTCACTGTTTTGTGATGATAATAAGTTTGTATATGAAAATGATAGATATCTCAACTTTTCCCTGACGATTTTTAACAAAGCTTTAAACTGATTGAATTTAATCTGCTGTGTATGAAATTTAAAATGTAATAACTGCGATTTGAAGTTTGTTGAGGGTGACAGCCATCGAATTTCTGATGTCTCCATATCATAAACTTCATTTAAAAATAAGTATTTCAGTCTCGATAGACGATAGAGCAGTTCATAGATTGTACACATATTTGTTTGACCAATTGTTAACGAAACAATTGAGCTATTGTAGTAGCCCTTGTGAAAAATTAAAATATCTTCCAGTTGCGAAGCTAAAAAGAAAGAAATGAAAGAGAAACAAACGAAACAGATTTAAGGACCCTCTCCACTCAGAAACCTATTTTCGTCCAGGGAGATTCAATCTAACGGGTGGCGCATAAATAAACGCACTCCCGTATTTTGAATATAACTCCGCCGGCTTTTATCCTATCGATCCAAATCTTTTTCCAAAAGATTCCTTATTGAATTCTCTACAAAACCATGCCA